CTCGGAAAGCAGAGGGCCTTGCATATATTGGTGCAGTGCAGGCGACAAAGAAGTGGATACGGTGCTGCCGCGGTGATCGAAAAAAGCAGAGGAGAATCCCATAATCACCATGATATATATGGTGTTGCATCCCCCAACATTGTGGAGGACGAGTAAGGTCGATCAAGAATGGTCAGGGATCATCATACAATGTTCGTGCTGCATGTCCGCTTGCTGTTTATTGCTGTACTACAAAGGATTTGATCACCACACTTTCAGTTCATTATAATACCCGGGACTACAGGCACAATACTTGTGTAAATATGGTGTTGATCACGTCAGCGTCGGTGATGTTGGGGAGCTCATTGCGCTTCTTAGAGAAGCGCTGGATGTACTTCCGGAGGGTCTCGTCGGCCCTCTGCCTGCAGTTGTGGAGGTCCCATGAGTTCCCGGGCCATGTGTACGTACCCTGGAAGTGGCCGACGAAGACGGAACGGAGGTCAGCCCCCCAGTGGATGCTGCCAGGCTCGAGCTGCTCGAGCCACGCTCTAGTCAGATAGTCGGGAACAGGGGAAGGTACTAGACGGCGAAGTCATCATCCGACCCCCCGGCCCTCATGGCGAGGCGGTAGTCCTCGAGCCAATGGTCCAGGTTGGCCTCGCCTTCGTACTTGGAGATGTGCGTCAGCGGCCGGAATCGCCTGGGGTAGGGTGTGGCCTGGATCGCTGCCCCAAACGCCAGGGGGCCGAAGTGATCCGAGGCGGAGCCCCTGCCCCTCCGCTCGGGAGTGCGGGACTGTGCCTGAGCATGATACCTAGCCTCGATGGTGTCGTGGACGTCACGGTCATCGCCGACCCAGTGGTGCGTGGGGGGACGCAGGAGAGAAGGCTCGCACCTTCACTCCTGTCGGGGCTTGGCGCCCCTGGTCCATGGACGGCCAGAGCTGCTGCCGGAGGAGTCACCGTCGCTTCCACCCATTGGTAGGGCGCGTGCGTCGGAGCGGTCCCCGATGACGGTGGTCGTCGGCTGGGACGGCCTGGAGAACACAGCGCGACGCCGGGAGGTGGAACTCTCGGCCTGCTGCTCAAGGGCGACGTGGACAAGCCGCCTTGCCTCGTGCAGCCGCTCATTTGTCTTCAGGTCCGGCGTGTCAAAGATGCCCTCAAGCCGACAAGCGGCGTCCACCATGTTGTACGCCGCACAGGGAAAGCGCAGGGTGTTGGGCTCCCCGTGCGGGCATCATCATTGTTGGTGAGAAGCTGCGCGGCTTGCTGCTACGCAAAGTCCTGCCTTTGGCGCTCGAGCTCTGCCTCGGCGGCCCCCAAGTCCACCTGCCGAGTTCGCAAGCGATCCACCTTCTCCTGAAGGTACTTTGCGTGTCTGCGGGGACTCAAGTCTGGCGGCGTGAGCTCGAGCGCCTCATCGGCAGCTACCTCGCCGTCGATGTGGTAGCACATGCGCGGCAGAGCGTAGCAGTCGATGTCGTCGGAGTCATACTCTGGGCCGTTCCCCGAGAGGATCTCGAGGAACATGTACAACAAGGGGACGTCAGCCCCCATGGCGCCGGAGAGGATGGCACTTCGTGGTGCCTCACGGTTGATGAGGTGCTCCAACTCCAGCTGGAAGGACACCGTATTCTAGATCCTGAAAGGCAGGTCCGGACGTAGTACCAGAAGCGGTCAGGCGGCGGGAGCACCACGGTGGTGGCGATCTGGTGTTGGACGTTGGCCAGCATGTAGAACATCTTGCGATGGCCCGACACGGTGGGGTGTGGACCTAGACCGCGTCAGATCTGCCGGGACAGGACCTTGAGATCTGCTCCCAGGAGGCCCGGTAGAGGGGGCGGCGCCGAGAGCACGTTGCCTGCCGGTGCGGCCCCGTTGAGCAGACGAAGCTTGCCGTAGCAGTCGGCAACATAGGCCAGGCTCCCAAAGTTGAGGACCTAGCCCAGAGCGAAGGCACCGGCTATGATGAAGAACTCACCAGGGAAGCGGACACCACCGTCTAGGGCGGTGCCACTTGCTTCGGCGACGAGGCGGGTGGCTCCGGCCACCATAGAGCCTGAATCGCAGTTGATGTTGCCCCTAACTGGCGCGCCTGCGGTCGTAGGGTCGGAACCGTGGCAAGCATTGTTGTTCGAGTCGGTGTTAGAGTACATGTCTCTGCTGGCTTGGGTGGACTCAAGAATACAAGAATCACAGAGAGGACGCAATGGTTTATCCTGGTTCCGGCTGATCGGTGCCCTACGTCCAGCAACTGATAATCCTTATACTCAAGAGCACCCAGAATTGGGGGGTTCCGACAGAGGGTATAGGAGGAAGAGAGATTTGGTAGGGGGTTAGCTTAGTGCTAATCCTGAGGTTGTCTCACCGTCGTTAGAGCCTTCCCCACATCTGAGAGGAGGAAGACGACGGGTGCGGTGGAGGAGCTCTCGGTGCCCCTCTCTGGATTGCTCTGCTCTCGGTGCTAAGCAGGAGCGGATCGATGAAGAATGGAATAATCTGTCTGGGATCGCCTTCCCCCCTCTAGGATTCGACCTTATCCCTTATATATCGAGATAGGTCGGGTACATTGCGGTTTTTGGGGTTGAGCCTATGGTTTAATTGCGCTGGAGTCTAGGAGGGTCTTGCAACGACGCTCTATGGACCATGGCAATGTCGTGGAGCTAAAGAAGCCTTGGGCATCATCTGGCTGTCCTGTTCTGACACGCTGAGTGTCAGACTGTGTCGGCTTGGACCGGCCTCCCCCACGCGCACCTTCTGAAATCTTCTTGGTGGTGAGGGAGGTCGGCTCGAGGGGCTAACACGCGGGCCCAGAAGCCCCCAAGCCCCCTGAGGTCGAGGAGAGCTTGTCTTCTTGTGTCACGTCCCGTGCGTGACCTTGTCGGGGGAGCGGCTGGCAAGGCCACGCCCAATGTGCTGCATTGAGGAGCCCCCGAGCCTCGATGGCTCAGGACATGTCTTCTTGTGTCCGGGCCTTGGCTGGCATCGTAGGCCGGGCAGGAGCCAAGGATCAGGCTCATGTTCCTAGCCGATCGGGAGCCTGAGGATCGGGTTAGTCTCCGAGCCCTGAGCAGATGCCTTGGCGTGCTTAGGCTCGGGCAAGTTCCTTAGTCTGAGGGTGCGCGCAAGCGAACCCGATAGATATGCCCCCCGAGCCCCAGGGCGATCCTGTAGGGATCGAGGGGGGGGGGGGTTCTCTTTGGTCAGGAACCATAGATCCCGAGGCTTAACATACGCATATGTTAGGATCTCGGATATGATATTTTATATGCGTATTAATGTATTAACCAAGTGAACATGATTCGTAGGCTAATCTAATATTTTATATTAACCATCTGTGAGCGAACATTTGTAAGGCGGTTCAAGTTTTTTCTGTATGATTGAACGTTCTCTTTTTCTTTATAAAAAAAGTAAGTTTATTGATAGATCCATAAACGTGATGGGTCCTGATATTTAATATTGATATAAATATATTAACTAAAAGTGAACATGATAGATAGACCAATCTGCTATTTTGTATTAACTAACTATGAAACATACGTACGGCCATTTTTTGTTTTCATTAAAAAGATTTTATTTAGTATAATGTCATACGTGGGTAAATTTCTACAAATAAAATAGATCTAATGGTTATGAATGGCTCAAGACTTTTGATTTGATAGCCAGATGTGTCTGGTTAATGTTAGATTTTCTAGCAGTTTCCTTTTTTTTTTCTAACGCATCTGATGAGAATTAATGTGGAGGCTCTCTTAGGGCCTCTAATTAATAATAGTAAGATTTTATGTCTTTTCTAAATGGTATTCTAAAATAAACCCAACCAGCTTTTGTACATAAAATAACTCTTTTGACATTTGCCTGCCTCGGTCACACAGTAGAGAACCTTGCATATCTTTTACAATTCGTTGGAAAAGTACCATTGGTACTTGCAGCTACCTTCATATTTTCTATTTTGTGACCAATTCTTTAAAAAGAATTTTTATAAATTTAATTTTTGCTATCAGTGATATAATAGTAATTTTCCTTCAGTTGTTTGTAACACTAGGCCCACCCCCACAGGGGCTCGTTTTTATTATTATCGGGTTTCTGAAGCTGCCACCGCCGCCGCTCCTTTTCCCGCCAACGGTGCTCCCTCGATCCGCCCCACTCTAGCACCAGCGACGACAATGATTACCACAGTGTACAGCTACCTTGCACCTCTTTTGCCCGCATGGCCGCACCCACCGGCGACCCCCTCCCCTACACGACAAGCGACTCGGAAGCACATGGACCTGCTGCTGGATACTGAGTTACTGACCGACACACTTTGGATTGAATTGAACACAGCTTCAATCAAAGTCGAAGCTTCAGCCTGCACGCACCAAGCAGGTCCGTCGTTTACTTTCTGCTTTTACAACAAGCAAGTGCATTCGCTAGTAGAATTGCAGGCCGGGCGCTGGGGCAGGTTGCTGCTGTCCCTCAACCCGTCTGCGCGTGTCGCCAACATTATATTATTGCGGGCTTATGCGGCCAGTTGTTGCAATCCAACTAGAGATACCTTGGATTCACTGGTGCCAGGTGACGTATATTCCCAAAGTAGTATGAATGAACCATTATATTCCTCAGTCACAGCTCACAGCGAAGTAGTATGAATGAACCATTTGCTCTGCCTCCCTCACAAAGCAGAGGGCCTTGCATATATTGGTGCAGTGCAGGCGACAAAGCAGATGTGGACATGGTGTTGCCATGGAGATCGGAGTGGAGAACTCCATAATGGCCATGATATCGAGGAGGCTGAGTAAGATCGATCAACAACAATGATTGGGATGCCTGATTTCATGATCAGCGATCAGGTCACCATACAATGTTCGTGCTGCATGTCTGCTTTCATGACCACACATTCGGTTCATTACAAGATCCACGGCTTCAGACCTATTACTTGTGCAAATATATATAGGTCCATTACTTCAAAAAATATATATATGGAGTGTACAAAGATACATGGTCAAGACTACAAGAGTGCAGGAGATGCCGCCGGTAACCATGATGCCCGCCGACCGGTTCATATCGCAGACCGTCCTGAGGAACCCCAGGGACGCCATCCGCGCCCTCAAGTCCTGCGAGGGCCTCCTCCCCCTCGCCGACGACCTCGGCCTCCTGTCACGCTGCGTGGACGCCATCGCCGCCAAGGCCGCCGCGTCCACGCCCACGGCGCTCTTCGGCTGGCCCATCGCCGACGACGCCAGGGACGGCGACCGCCGGCGCCGCCGCCGGGGCCACCTGGTTCGACGACCTCGCTGGCCTGTCCTTGGCCACGTTCACCCGTGTCATTGCCGCCATGAAGGAGCACGGCGTCGGCCCTGAGGTCATCGAGGGGGCGCTCATTGCGTACGCCAAGCGGTCCATACCAGGGCTGTCGCGCACTGGCAGGCATGTCGGCGGGGGTGGGGGCGCCGTCGCTGCGCCGCCTTCGTCCGATGGGGAGCAGAAGGCGCTTCTCGAGACCGTCATTGCCAACCTCCCCGAGGAAACCATCAAGAGCAGTGCCCACACCGGCACGGCCGTGGGCGCCACCACGGCGCGCATCCTCTTCGGTCTCCTGCGTATGGTGAACATTCTCCACGCGTCAGAGGCGTCACGGGACATGCTTGAGCGGCGCACCGCCGCGCGGCTGCCCGACGCGGCCGTCGACGACCTTCTCATCCCGAGCTACTCGTACCTCGTGGGGACGCTCTACGACGTGGACTGCGTCGAGCGCATCGTGCCGTATTTCCTGGAAGGCCGCGACGTCGCTGACGAGGGCAATGAAGAGGAGGGCAGTGAAGCGGAGACCCCAGGCAGAGAAGCTAGCCGACGAGCCATGCTGGCCGTGGGGAGGTTGGTGGATGCCTACTTGGGGGAGATCGCGACAGATGCCTACCTGAAGCCGGACAAATTCTGCGACCTCGCCTGGGCGTTGCCGGACGGCGCCCGCGTGTACGACGATGGCCTTTACCGAGCTGTCGACATCTACCTCAAGGTGAGGGAGCAGCGCGTTCTCGTCATCTTCTTGTTTGCAAGCTTGTGAAACAATGCCAGTGTTGATGAGTGATGAATGCTTGTTTTGGCTGATCTGTCTGCAGGCTCATCCGGGTCTCAGTGAAGAAGAGAAGGAGAAGGAGAAGGTGAGCGGCGTGGTGGACGGGCGCAAGCTGACACTGGAGGCCTGCACGCACGCGGCGCAGAACGAACGGCTACCGCTTCGGACGGTCGTGCAGGTGCTCTTCTTCGAGCAGCTCCAGCTACGCCGGGCCATCGCGCGTACCATCACGGCGAACGAAGGCGGCGCAGCCGGGTCAGGGGAGGAAGGCGATGAGAGCGACGGTGGCGGGACATGGCGCGTGGCGGCACGGGGCAACCAGATGCTGCGGCTCGATATGGACAGCATGCGGAACCGCGTGCAGGAGCTCGAGCGTGAGTGCACGAGCATGAGGAAAGCCATCGACAAGATGGACCGGCGAGGCGGGGCACCGGTGGATAGGGGAGCGCCGTCCGTGCCGGCGGATGGGAGGTGGGGCGCGATAGTGACGAAGCGGTTCGGGTGCAAATTCCCGGCGCAGGTCTGCCAGTCGCAGCAGCGGACGGTGGTGGCACGGACTCGCCGGCCACGCATTGAGCAGAGCCCCTGAGTTCTTAGCCATTGCACATCCTAGCTTTGAGTTCATTGTTCTGTTCTCTTGATTCTTTCAGAGTTTTCCCTGCGCGGCATTGTGTCCTTTTTCACTGAGATCATTGAATTGCGTATTAGCAGCGCACAAATTGTACTTGGAAAGTCAGTCATCTTGCTCTGATTGTGCAACGGCAAAGGCTCGCCACTCGTTGCAGTAAGCACTACTACCTCGTTGCAGTAAGCACACGCCGCCGCGTGCCGGTGAGCCACTGAGCCTTGCGGCGTGGGCTCACGTGGGCGGGCGGGCACAGCACAGGGCAGCCACACGGACGCTGGCCCTGGCTAGTCTCCACCGACGCAACGACCGGAGGCCGAAGCCGACGTGCATGCATGTATGCGTTGGATTTAAGGTTAAATAAATTGTATGGATCTGTAGTGAACCATTTTAAAAGTTTATGGACAAAAAAATGCAGTTATAAAATTGATGGACCTAGATGACACCCCAACGAAAGTTAATGCACTACCGGATACAGAACATTTGCCGAGTGCCAGGGGCACTCGGCGAAGTCCCAAAAACACTCGGCAAATGGTTTGCCGAGTGTTACACTCGGTAAACGACACTCGGCGAATTTTTATCGGCAAACGCTAGTTTGCCGAGTGTTTTCTGTCGGGCACTCGGCAAATAAGTTGCCGAGTGCAAAAAAAAAACACTCGGCAAACTTTTTTTTCAAAAAAAATAAAAAAGGGACGCCGACACCACTGCCGCACCACCAGCACCGCCACCACCATCCATGCCGCCACCACCACGCCGGGGAAGAAGGTAGAGCATCCGCGCCGGATCCGCGCCGCCACGCCGCCGGGGAAGGAGAGGGCGCCGGATCCGCGCCGGGGGAGAGGAGGGCCGCGCCGGGGGAGAGGAGGGTCGCGCCGGATCCGCGCCGCCACGCCATTGGGAAGGAAGGCGTCGGATCCGCCTGGGAGAGGAGGGCTGCGCCGGGGGAGAGGAGGGCCACACCGTGCCGGGGGAGAGGAGGGCCACGCCGCGCCGGGAGGGGGGAGGGCGCCGCCGCGGATTTGGAGAGAGGAGGCGCGCGCGGATTTCACGAGAGGGCGGGCGGCGGATTTGGAGAGAGGAGGCGCGGGGTGCGGCATATTTATATTAAATTTTGTTTGCCGAGTGTTCTGGATCCAAGCACTCGGCAAACTTTTTTTTTCATTTTTTTGTTCTTTTTTTCTAAAAAAAATATATTTTATTCCTTTGCTGAGTGTCCTAGATATGGACACTCGGCAAAGTTTTTTTCATTTTTTTCTTCTCCTTCGTTCACAGAAAAAAAGATTTTTTTTCCTTTGCCGAGTGTCCTAGATTTGGGCACTCGGCAAAGTTTTTTTTTTAATTTTTTTTCTGCTCCTTCTTTCCCATGAAAAAAGATTTTATTTCGTTGCCGAGTGTCAAAAAAAAAAAAAACACTCGGCAAACCCCCTCTTTACCGAGTGTTTTTTTTTGACACTCGTCAAACCTACTCTTTAACGAGTGTTTTTAGGGAAGCACTCGGCAAATCACTTGTTTGCCGAGTGCCCGAGAGAATACACTCGGCAAACATAAAAACCCTCGGCAAATTTGACGTTTCCGGTAGTGATGGATCCAAAAATACAGTTTCAAAGTTGATGGACCTAGATGACACCTCAACGAAAGTTAATGGACTTCGGATGCATTTTACTCAAATATATATATATATATATATATATATATATATATATATATATATATATATATATATATATATATATATATATATATATATATATATATATATATGGAGTGTACAAAGATACATGGTCAAGACTACAAGAGTGCAGGAGACGCCGCCGGTAACCATGATTTGGCAGTATGTCAGCAGTCTGCATGTGAACAGAGTATGTGTACTGCATGAGTGCGTGCTGGAGACGAGCTTCTACCAAGCACATCTCACTCCCAATTGCCACTGCAAGCTAACATCATGTGGCTCTGCGTAAGGATCCTGGATCCCTGCATACATTAGTTACACGGTCACTGCATAATGACACTTGAAAATACGTACTAAGTGAGAGAAAAATTATAGCTACAAATACAAGAGATGATAATAAACATACTTATGCCAGAATTGGAGTACAAGCAACAACTAATTAATAATCTGGAAAGCAACTTTCGGCATAGTGAAAGAATGCGATTTACTATTACCTGAGTGCATGAGCGATCATCAATGGAGCTGTGCTGTCCTCAGTCTTCCTCTGAATATCCATCCGAACTTGTATCTGAATCTTCGATGCAGTTGATGTCGCGTTTTCCAATATGGCTGATCTTCTTCCATTCAGAGCTACGTGGTGATAAGGAGGATTCGTGTAGCTTCTTGTTGCAATACAACTCGAGATACCTTGGGTGTACAGCTCGCAGGTATTCTGGAAGCGTGTCCATGGTGGCGTCCTCCAGTCGAAGGCTGTCGAGTGCTGGGACACCTTCAAGAACCTCCAGATTTGGGCAGCAAGTGATCCTAATCTTCTGCAGCATGGCGAGGCCGCTGATCCTCTTGAGCTCAGGGCAGTCAAACACATCAAGTTTCACAACTGAAGGGATGTTCTCCACATGTGTCAGGTTGGAGAGCTCGTACAGGTTTAGTTTTCTAAGATTATGCCTCTTGCTGCTGGCGAGGCCTGGTGGAAGACAGCTCAGCTTGCAGTTGTTGATTTGGAGTGTCTCCAGACAAGGCATGGCTATGGCAGTTTTCACTTCATTATGCTCCTCGCAGTCATTCCATTCCCACTCCTCCCACTCACGTAGTCCATCCAAATACAGCTCTCTCAGTTAAGGAAACGGTGCAGATGTACAAGCAGCGGAACCTCCAGCTGCCACGGAGGATGACGCTTGGAATTGGGGGCCAATACGCTTGATGGCTGGCGCATCCGTGACGTCCAGCAATTCCAAACTTGGGAGGCAGCATAGACCATCAGGGAGCTGGGTGCAGCAAGGCAGGTTCTCCAGTTCCAAATACCTTATGCTCTTAAACTCTGCCGATCCTGGAGCACACATCCAGTCTGGTAGCCGGCAACCAATGTATCCTCCTATCACACCTAGATTCTCTAGGCAGGTTGGAGGGCAGAGCTTTTCCAAGACTTCCTCGGTCACACTCTGTTGTTGTTGCTGCTCTGCCTCAGCACCACCTGTCCCTATAGCATGTCCACTTGCACTGTAGTTCAACTCTAGATACCCAAGGTGGCGCTTGCTGCTAATCATGGCCTTTTCAGCCATCCGGCTGTCATGCACCTTCTCTAGGCCATATAATGTAAGATCCCTAAGCTGAGAGAGAGGCTCCAGCTCTTGCAAACTGCACCAGCTATTGCTTGCATCCATGTCCACGTGTACTGGGAAGCCATAAAGTGACCTCAGATTTGTTAACACACTGAACCCCTTAGGCATGACACTAACATTTGATCCTCTGATGTTAAGAGATCTTAGATGCACAAGTTTTATGATGCTGCCAGGAAGATAGCATAGCTTCTTATAGTTAACAAGTGAAATGTACAGTAGAAATTTCATCTTTTGGATATCATCTGGTAGCCTAGATATATCAGTATCCTCCCAGTGAAGGTATCTTAAGTGCTTCAACATAGATAGAGAGGGAACCAATCTATTAGAATCAGCAGACAATATGTACAGTACCCGCAGGCTAGAGAAACTACTCAGCGAGTCATCAGGAAGATGAAAGTTTACTCTAGAATTTATAATTAATGTCCTAAGCGACTCTCGCCTTTGCAAAATGCCCCAATCCAGTACTGATACGGTCTGTTCTATGCAGAGGCGACGGACATGCATACCAGTAGCAGCCTGTTCTCTGCCAACCACCACCACTAGTGATTCTTCTCTTGCCATGTGTTCAGCAAAGGTGCAGACCACATCGTGCATGGTGCACCGGTATCCAGTGAGAGAATATTCTTTTGTAGGTTCTATAAGGTTCCTCTTTATTAACTCTTGGTAGTACTCAGTTGCCATCTCTTCGAACTCATACTCTTGTAAACTATTAGTACTACCACCCGGAGGTTGGATAAATCCTTCACCAATCCACATTTGAGTTACTAAACCATGTACGAGTTCTTCACCTTTAGGAAATAGTGAGCAGTACAGAAAGCATTGCTTTAACTGGGGGGACAAGTCCTCGTAGCTCAAGTATAGTCGGTTGTCGAGTTCTGGAGGCAGTCCGGTCAGTGACCAAGCTGGCTTGTTCAAAACAGATTTCCACTCATGCTCACTTGGGTATCTTGTGCTCAAGAGACCTCCAATCACTTTAATTGCAAGTGGTAAGCCATCACAGTTTTCAAGAATTTCCATCCCAATAGTTTTCAGTTGATCAATTCCATCTACTTGCCAACATTTAATTTAAAGCTTCTTAATTATTTCTAACAACTATCAGGTTGCTTATGTACTTCTCTAAGCAAATAAGCTGCTTCTGTAAAACAATGAAGCGTAGGTTGGCCAACGTATTGGAAGTGTACCGTCCTTTATTCGAAAATAAGCACAAGACTATGCTTGGAAAGGGCCGATTTCAAATGGAATCCGCATGAATGGGCGCAAAATCCCATAAGTCTAATATACGGAATCCATGCATTGCAATTGGGCTTTAAATGTTCTCATTCGGGAAACAGGACTATACTACAGAAAGTTTTGCAGTGGCTTTCCTTGCAAAAAAAAGTTTTCTTGTGGCTACAGGAATCGGACTTTAATGGTCTCTTTGCGTTTTAAATTTGTTGTGTGGCAGTTATTATTAGCTATAGGACGACTAGGATAGTCGAAAGTCAAAATCTGGGCATTATCTACTAGGACGCACTTGATGCATTAAAATATTCATTTATATGCAAACTTAGGGTCTTCGTTTTGGTTTATAAGAAATGGTAGACTGAGTAATTTAGTTGTAAATTTTGGACTACTTTACATTATGGTTTGTAATGGCATAGGTGGATAATTTAGACAAACGTTATATTTAGAGGTTACTTATTGATCAAATCCAAACATGGAGATATGTTAAGCCTCAGGATCGAGGGTTCCCAACCGAGAGATCCCATGACCGACCCCTCCCGGATCTCTCGGGGGCTACACCCATTGGGTGCGCTCGCGCACACCCTCCGGCTAAGGCATTGGGCTGAGCTCGAGCATGCCCGGCGCCTCTGCTTGGGACTCGGGGGCTCGCCCGAGCCCCAGGCTCCCAATCAAAGGGAGCATGGACCCGATCCTTAGCTCCTTCCCGGCCTTCAGTTTTAGCAAAGGCCCAGGCACGAGGCAAACCCCCAGAGCCACCAAGGCTCGAGGGCTCCCCGGCACTGCCCCACAGGCGCGGCGCTATCAACCGCTCCTCCAAAAGGGTCACGCAGTGGGCGTGACGCAAGAAGCCAAACTCCTCCGCTAGCCTTGGGGGCTCCAAGGCTTCTGGGCTCGCGTGTCAGCCCCCCAAGCCGGCTGTCTTCGCCAACAAGAAGCCTCTAGAAGGCGCACGTGGTGAAGACCGGTCCAAGCCGACACAGTCTGACATTCAACGTGTCAGAACAGAGTGGCCGGACGATGCCCAGGGCTTCTTCGGCTCCATGACATCGCCATGGTCCACATGACACCATGGCAAGACCCTGCTGGACTCCGGCGCATGTAGACCATAGGATAAACTCTCACAAACCGTCATGTACCTGACCTACCTTGATATGTAACGGGAGGTCGGATCCTAAGACGGGAGAGGACGATTCCAATGGACGATTCCAGAACAGAATTCCAGACGATCCAGAGACGGATCGTTGGACTCCTCAGCAAACCAATTCGTGCTCTGCACCAAGAGCAAATCCACCCAGAGAGAGGCACAGAGAGCTCCTTCCCCTTTCTCCGATCGTCTTCCTCCTCTTCGACGAGGGGGAAGGCTCCACCGGCGGCGAGGCTTCCCTAGGATCAGCACCGAGCGATCCCCTACAAATCTCTCTCTTGCACTCTGTTGTAACCCCTAGATTTTGGGTGCTCTTGAGTATAAGGATCATCCGCTGCTGGACGTAGGGACCCAAAAGCCCGAACCAGGATAAACCGTTGCATCCCCTCTGTTGATTCTCGTGTTCTTGAGTCCACCCAAGACACTGGAGACATGTACTCTGACACTAATACGAACAACAATGCTTGCCGGGGTTCTGATCCCGTGACAGCTGGCGCTCTAGGTAGGGGAGCACGTCAAGTGTGATTCCTGCTCTATAGTGGCCGGAGCCACCCACCTCGTCGCCAGAGCAAGTGGCGCCGCCCCAGACGGTGGCGTCCGCTTCCCCGGTGAGTTCTCCGTCACAGCCAACACCTTCGCTCCGGGCCAGGTCCTCAACTTCGGGAGCCTGGCCTACGTCGCTCAAGGAGGCTACGCCTGCTCAAGTGTAATTTGACTATGGTTCTTCTATATGACCAGGACACTTAGATTGACCAACATATTAAAAGTGTGCCATATTGTAAAGATTTGCGGTAGGGCACTCTTCAATGGTGGTCTTTGCAAAGGGACACTGCTCACTGTTGTCTTTGCTACAAAGTACTTTTCAATGCTGGTAATTGGTTCTTAGACAATGTTGCTAATAAAATAATATTTCTAAGGACTACTTTGGAGAGAGAAGTTAAAAGTGACCAAAATGCACACCTGACTATTATAATACAAACCTTTAATAGTTATCCAAAAATTCATAATTGCATATAAAGTTGGATGAAGACGAACTTTATATCAAAATTGTAGTGCTTAGTGAGATCTATAATTTTGTTGTTGACAAGTTTTGGATTGAAAATTATTTATAGTATGAAATCAAATTCACAAATATTAAATTCAAAGTTAGAATATCTTAAGTAGTTTAGAATGCTGAATATTTATTTTATTATTTTATATTTTTAAATTTGAAATTTAACATTTTTAAAACGTCGGTTCCAATGTTCGAAGTAATTTGAAATTCCTAAATTTTGGATTTCAAAATTTAAGAGGCGGCTCTATATTACTTCAGATAAAAAATTATTATCTACAAAGTTTAGATCCTACTGATAACTACAAATTTTGTATATACCATGTCAATATCTGAGATCATTTATATTTATAGATTTTGTCAAAATTTGATAATTTCAGAGGAAGTTTTGGCAACCTAAATAGTTTGAAACAAAGAATTTGTCAATTACAAAGTTATAGATATTATTGAGCTCTACAATTTTGATTATATTTAAAGTTTATGTTCATACGACTTCATATGCAAAAGTTATGAATTTTTTAGATAACTATTAATTGTTGCACTATAATAGTCAGGGGTATATTGGTAACTATTAACTTCCACTATAATTGATATTACATTTCAAATAGAATCAAATTTCAAATAGCTAGATTTCATACGGAGCTAGCCATGCACTAAATCTTTCATTGGAGTGAATAATAGCTAGCTTGATCCTAGTGTTTTGTTGTTACATTTGATTATTTCTTCTAGATCATAGTTTTACTGGTCTCCTTTTGCTACTCTTGTAAGCTGGTGTTCCTAGCACGAATGCTTAGATTTAACGGAACTCCGATCCATATGCTTTCTATCAAAATCAAGTATATAGCCTAGTTGTATAAAGTATGGATAGACAACTAACCTGATCAGGCTGCAGCTGCTTCTTGAGCAAAGACCAAGCATCATCATTTTCTAGAGGCTTGACACGGTGTTGGTGAAGGGGGGCTTGCATCTGTTGGGGTAGGTGTGCAGATCTTGTGGTGACAAGGACCCTGCTTCCAGGTTGTTTCTTGCTAGCATTTCTGACTGGGACACTAAGCACATAGTTCCACACTTTCTGGCTCCACACGTCATCCATCACCAGCAGAAACCTTCCACTGGACAGGGTGTGGAATAGGGTCTCCGTCAGAGTGTTTTGTCCTTCTCAGCACCATGGTCGCCTCCAGCATGCTTGATTGCTGTCCTCAGTAGCTCAACCTCGTCAAACTGTTGAGTGATGCTTAGCCATATCGTCTTTGTCTTGAAGTGCTCTTGGATGGTTGCATCATTGAAGATCTTCTGGGCAAGAGTAGTCTTTCCCATGCCACCAACACCAATTATAGACACAACTTTGATGTTGTGATTATCATCACTTGAGGTTAGCAAGTGAATGAGCTCCCTTGTATCCCTCTCTATCTGTTCCCCAACTATGGCTGACTCATCGACAAGTGAACTTGTCCTATAGCTGGATGGCTCAGCAGTAGTTAGCTTCCTTGGCTCCGGGTTGGAACCGAGGCCAATATTGAACTTGTACTTGTCCGCCTCCTTGTGGATGCTTTCCAGCCTCTGGTTGAGCTCCTTGATGCGGCTGCCTATCTTGTGTGCGAACACGGGATTCCGCAGGCAGAAGAGCAATGGCTGGAAGCAGCTGGGCAACTTCTGTTCTATGCCATCGCCACCTCTGGACTCCCTGCGCTTGTTGGCCTCGAGCTGGCACAGGTCGAGGATGTCAGTGGCGTCATACATGGCGTTGTTGAGCTTTGTTGACCATCTTTGCACGCTCGTGTCAGTGATGTGCCTCCTCTCGGCATCTGCCATGAAGGCTTTGAGGCCTTCCGTGTTGTCCTCCAGCTTGGTGATCTCGGCGGAGATGCCCAGCAACATGGAAACCTCGTCTTGTGCCATGTCTGTTATTAGCTTCTTGACGTAGGGTGCCAAGGCATCCAGGACGGCTGCCATGTCTCAACTCTCAAGCACAGTTCCTACATGAGCAAGCAAAAAATCCTGAACCATTAGATAGATCCGGAATATCTACCAGCCCTGTTAGTCAGCTGTAACAAATCAGTAGTCAAGGTAACTAAGTGCCAAGGTGCAGTATTGTAGATTGATTTCTTCGTCAGCTTAAACGTACGTCATCTATATTTTGGACTGTAAGGACTCTGTTAAAGCCAGGATGACCTTATAGATTGATATCTTCGTTAAGCAAAACAAGGATTAGTTAACATGTCATACCGATGAGTGGGTTCATGTTCATGATCTGAAACCTTTAGTGGTTAATTACATCGAGAAGAGCAGCTAGCAGGGGCTTCGGCCCCTCCAGTTTTCTCAAAAAAAAAAAAAAAAAAAAAAGAGCAGCTAGCAAGGACTGCAGATCGAGTCTGTTTTGCTAGGTCTCTGAGAACGAATCATATCAGAAAGGAGCTACCTTGAAATCTCGGCGTTGAAGATGGAAGGGAGGTCGGGTGCAACGGCTTCTGGAGTGGATCTTGTCGGTGAATACGGAGTTGAGTTCAGGGACGGCGGTTGTGGGATGGAGACTAGGAGCTCAGAGACGGAGCAGAAGATGACAGGCTTGGCAGAAGGAAGGCTGCTGCTCCCTTGTGCTCGACTCCTGCTCAGAGAGAGAGCTAATAACCTCCCTCGTGACGATGATCATCGATCCGTGACCGTGAGTCGTCAGTCATGTATATTATATAATATATAAGCAATAATTAAGCATCTTCTTTTCTAAAAGCTTGGCAGTCTAGAACCGCAATACCCTGAAAGCTTGTTTTCTAACAACAACCTTTACACTTCTCTTTATTTGATCACCTATCACTACCTAAAACCTTCCCCAATCTCAATGAGAAGGTGTCGAGATTGAGGGGCCGAAAGCGGGGACAAGATAATATCAAACATATATTATTCTGATATATGAAAACAAACTGAGACATCTCCTGGAAAAGGCACAGCTTTCTTTTTCTATAGTGGCAGACACATGCCCCAGACGGTGTCGTCCGCTTCCCCGACGAGTTCTCCATCACGGCCAGCACCTTCGCTCCGGGCCAGGTCCTCAACTTCAGGAGCCTAGCCTACATCGCTGTCCGCTATAGCAAGCTCCACCCACTCAAGGAGGCTCCGCACGCTCAAGTGTAATTTGACCATGGTTCTTCTATGTGACCAGGACACTTAGATTGGCCAACATATTAAAAGTGTGCCATATTGTAAAGATTTGCGGTAGGGCACTCTTCAATGGTGATCTTTGCTAAGGGACACTGCTCACTGTTGTCTTGGCTACAAAGTACTTTTCAATGCTGGTAATTGGTTCTTAGAGAATGTAGCTATTAAAATTATATTTCTAAGGACTACTTTGGAGAGAGAAGTTAAAAGTGACCAAAATGCACCTGACTATTATAATACAAACCATTAATAGTTATCCAAAAATTCATAATTGCATATAAAGTTGGATGAAGACGAACTTTATATCAAAATTGTAGTGCTTAGTGAGATCTATAATTTTGTTGTTGACAAGTTTTGGATTGAAAATTATTTATAGTATGAAATCAAATTCCGAAATATTAAATTCAAAGTTAGAATATCTTAAGTCATTTAGAATGCTGAATATTCCTTTTATTATTTTATATTTTTAAATTTGAAATTTAACATTTTTAAAACGTCTGTTCCAATGTTCGAAGTAATTTGAAATTCCTAAATTTTGGATTTCAAAATTTAAGAAGAGACTCTATATTACTTTAGATAAAAAATTATTATCTACAAAGTTTAGATCCTACTGATAACTACAAATTTTGTATATACCATGTCAATATCTGAGATCATTTATATTTATAGATTTTGTCAAAATTTGACAATTTCAAAGGAAGTTTTGGCAACCTAAATAGTTTGAAACAAAGAATTTGTCAATTACAAAGCTATAGATATTATTGAGCTCTACAATTTTGATTATATTTAAAGTTTATGTTCATACGACTTCATATGCAAAAGTTATGAATTTTTTAGATAACTATTAATTGTTGCATTATAATAGTTAGGGGTATTTTGGTCACTATTAAATTCCACTATAATTGATGTTACATTTCAAATACCATCAAATTTCAAATAGCTAGATTTCATACGGAGCTAGCCATGCACTAAATCTTTCATTGGAGTGAATAATAGCTAACTTGATCCTAGTGTTTTGTTGTTACATTTGATTATTTCTTCTAGATCATAGTTTTACTGGTCTCCTTTTGCTACTCTCATAAGCTGGTGTTCGTAGCACGAATGCTTAGATTTAACGGAACTCCGATCGATATGCTTTCTATCAAAATCAAGTATATAGCCTAGTTGTATAAAGTATGGATAGACAACTAACCTGATCAGGCTGTAGCTGCTTCTTGAGCAAAGACCAAGCATCATCATTCTCTAGAGGCTTGACACGGTGTTGGTGCAGGGGGGCTTGCATCTGTTGGGGTAGGTGTGCAGATCTTGTGGTGACAAGGACCTTGCTTCCAGGTTGTTTCTTGCTAGCATTTCTGACTGGGACACTAAGCACGTCGTTCCACACTTTCTGGCTCCACACGTCATCCATCACCAGCAGAAACCTTCCTCTGGACAGGGTGTGGAATAGGGTCTCCGTCAGAGTGTTTTTGTCCTTCTCAGCACCATGGTCGCCTCCAACATGCTTGATTGCTGTCCTCAGTAGCTCAACCTCGTCAAACTGTTGAGTGATGCTTAGCCATATCGTCTTGGTCTTGAAGTGCTCTCGGATGGTTGCATCATTGAAGATCTTCTGAGCAAGAGTAGTCTTTCCCATGCCACCAACACCAATTATAGACACAACTTTGATGTTGTGATTATTATCACTTGAGGTTAGCACCTGAACGAGCTCCCTTGTATCCCTCTCTATCTGTTCCCCAACTATGGCTGACTCATCGACAAGTGAACTTGTCCTATAGCTGGATAACTCAGCAGCAGTTAGCTTCCTTGGCTCCGGGTTGGAACCGAGGCCAATATTGAACTTGTACTGATCCGCCTCCTTGTGTGGATGACTTCCAGCCGCTGGTTGAGCTCCTTGATGCGGCTTCCTATCTTGTGTGCGAACACGGGATTCCGCAGGCAGAAAAGAAATGGCTGGAAACAGCCGGGTGACTTATGCTCCACATTGCCACCGCCTCTAGACTCCCTCCGTTTGTCTGCCTCGAGCTGGCACCGGTTGAGGATGTCAGTGGCATCATACATGGCGTTGTTGAGCTTTGTCGACCACCTTTGCACGCTCGTGTCGGTGATGCGCCTCCTCTCAGCATCTTTGAGGAAGGCTTTGAGGCCTTCCATGTTGTCCTCCAGCTTGGTGATCTCGCTGGAGACGCCAAGCAGCATGGACACCTCTTCTTGTGCCATGTCTGCGATAAGCTTCTTCACGTAGGGTGCTAAAGCATCCAGGGCAGCCGCCATGGCTCAAGCCTATCTACCTGCTAGTAGTAAATCATACATATATAAGCACAGATTTGTCTCATAATCCCCAGAGAGCATAACTTGATATCAAAATTAACTATATAATGCTACTCGGTCGTCCATGGAGAAAACATCGCGGAAGGAAATTAACTATATAATGCTCACCTCAACTTATTGCGGGGCAGAATGCGGAACGAAAGAGAGTGCGGCAGAATGCGTGAGGCGATGATCCCAGCAGGAAGCGACTCCCCTTGTATAGGAAATGGAGTAGAGGAGTAGCAACTTGACTGACACAAGTCTTTATTAGTATATTTCTCGTTCATCGCCGTTAAAGAATTGGAATCACATGCATGCCCACTTAACTTTTGACTAATCTATTCACAAAAGAAAAAACTTTTCAGTAATCGCACAGGCCGAGCCGGAACAACCGCAAAATAATAAAGCTGGCCTTCTGGGGTCACATGCATGCACGCGCAAGTAGTATTTGTCTTCATCCAGCGCTTAGCGTGTCGTGTCTCGTGTGGACAGTGATCTGCTCCTATTGTTTCTACTTAGTGGCATGTCATCTCTCGATTTGCTACATGCATGCATGTGAGCATATGGAATAAAAATAAACTTTACTTGCAGCATGAAATTTTTTATTTAATCTCCCACTCTCTCCTTCACTGTCGGTTCATTAGGCACTTACTCCTCTTTCATCACTCGGTCCTGTCGTCCCCCACTATTTGTCTCACCTGTTCATCTCTCACTCGATAGATCTAGTATTTCAGTCTCATCCTTCTAACTTCGAGTCTGGAGTTGCAAAACATTTGTTAATGCCACACCACTCGTATCTTGGCTTGGCCTCGGAGCGAATTTACGTTACGGCAAAGCCCATTTTTGGTACAAGCTCTGTGCAACAAATTATACAAACCATGGTATGTACACCGTTGCCAGCACGTCAGACTTGTATATATATAACTAGAAACAAACGACAAATAATGAGATTAGAACGATAAACTTGTTCCATGCGTACGTCGATGTACTACACAGTATAATAATAATATAAGCTGCCAGTGCTTTTTGTGCATGGTGAACCGCTGTCCTACAGTCTTTCCACATGGTTGTAGATCTGGAGCTAGTAGCGAGTATGGTTGCGTGCTTAGAAAAAAAAATATTAGCTACTAGTGCTTGGAAACACGAGTCACATCATCATAATACATATAGTTTGGTACATAGTTGATGTCAGTCGTCGAGTCGACGACTCAACTTTTCATACGTACCGACTGTGTAACTTTTCATACATCTAAGCGGCACGTTAGATGAAGATTATGATGTTACACAATTGTCGTAGTACTTTCACAAGGCAGTGTACCTACATACAAACACAGTCGGCTCAACTGCTGCCGTTGCTTCTAAAAACACTTTTAATTTGTAAATTATACTATCAGTATCGTACAACCAAAATAATTGACAACCTTCAACCCAGGCAGCAGATGCCAAATTAGCTAGTCACGTCGCGTCAAACCACCCCTCCGTCCAATAATGCCCAGAGCTACTAATACTCATTGGCACCCAAAATGGGTAGTTTTTTTTTGAATCCCACGAAATTGGTAGTGTCAGCCCTATCTAGGAGCACGAGCAGACTAAATTTTTTGGCTGCCCAAGCCCACTCTTATTTTTTCCTATATCGTTGTCTGCTTTCTTTTTCTTTCAGAATTGACCATGTAATGTAACCCGAAATGGGGGCTGTCCTTTTTAACGTTCCGAGCATCTTGAGTGCTGCTTTTGTTTAAAATAAGAATAAAAAAATTACTCACCGATCATGGCCTCGCAAGTCTACACCTAATGCGCACCTAATTTTTATTTTTATACAATAAAAATAAAAAATTACTCGCCATGATCTTGACCTCCCAAGTCTACACCAAAATGCGCACCTATTTAACCAAGAAGCTTTGCTCTGCCAAATGGGCGTGTTAGAATATTGTTACCAATACATCTTCTTGATTGTGCGAGCCAACACTCACCCAATAATTAACAGAGACAAAGACAAGCAAGCTGGGGTACATGGGTAGAGACCACATGATTTGCGCTGTCTTTTGCTCTAAAGCTAGTCATGGGCCAAGAAGAAAAGACCACGGCTAGTCATTGAACTACGTGCATTTTGAGAAACAAAAAAGAAAAGAGAGCACCCTGCCATAACACGCCAACCTGCTAGGCGCGCGTCCAGCCCACCGATGATGCCCTTGCCACAGGAAGAAATTAATAGGGGCTCTCGCTGATATGGGCTTTTGCATATGTATCACCCACGACTGGCTGAATTGATGATGGATTAGTGGTAGTACTAGTTTACAGACGGAGTGCGTGGTAAAACTGATTGGGCTTGCTTATCACTAGCAATGATGCCAAGAGGTATACGTTGCGCATGAGACTACTTTTTTCCTGTGTCAACCTGAGTCCAAAGCCACAGAGAGCCCAAGCTACAGGCTGCCTTGGCACTACATCTGCTCTGCTTTGTTTCTGATCTGATCTTCATCCACTTTGCTCTGTTCACATGAATTGAACTATTATTAAGCATACATATACGGTGGCCGTCTGGGTGGCCGGCTGGACAGCGAAGAACCGGTCTGGCCGGTTGGCTCAGGCGGCCTGGACGGTTTCCTCGATCAGCTCAGGTCCCTGAAATTCTTCTAAAAAATCCGAAGTTGGATCGCCTCCAAAAATTCCCAAACTCTGTTGAGATGATTCTTAGATGTATTAGATGATATCCCCAAAGAAACAAAACCCAGAAACTCTGGAAATGATGCAGATCTGAATATCCATGTAGGGAAGTGGGGTTTTCTCAAGAAATTCTCCCTAGGGTGAAAAATCATGCTCATGATGAATCTGCCTGATTCACTTCGCAGGGTGTTCATCTGATGTCCTTTCACGAATTAAACCCAATACAACAATCCCAAAACCTCACGAACTCAAGATCGAGCAAAATGGTGAATAGGGGGAAGAAAGAAGGGAAAAACCAAATACAAATCATCTTAGATCAAAGGCTCAGGTCTCAGAGAGCATGATTGCTTTATTTCCATGATCTACAGAGGATAACTTACAGAAAACTTAAACCTAGACATAGTATTAACCTCCCACATAGTGGATCTCAACAGCAGTAGAACTCAACTAAATACTGGGAAAACCTAGAAATGAGGGCCAGAGATATGGGAAAAAATTGGGTGCAGACCCCTGCACCCAACCTCCGTGTAGACCCATCTTGGATATAAGCCACGTGTCCCAAAATGCCCATCACACGGTCAGGGGTGGTTGGCAAAAGGCCCACGAAAGTTGACCCACCGAAGTTTAAGCCTAAGCCAACCTGCCCTGACTGTGTGATGGGCCTTTTGGGACACGTGGTTTCCATCCAAGGTGGGTCTACACGGTGGTTGGGTGCAGGGGTCTGCACCCAATTTTTTTCCGAGATATGGGCTGGTTAGGAGCAGTCATCCTCTTATGTATAGAGATATTACCCAACCCCTTAAGCAAAAAGACTATCTCCTAAATCAATCTTACTATTACTAATTAGAGGACTCAACAGAGCCTCCACGTTAATCCTCTCCAGATGCGCTAGAAAAAAAGATAAATGCTAGAAATTCTCACATTAATCAGAAACATCCGCCCATCAAATCAAATACTCTAACCTGTTGGATCTATTTTATTTCCTGAGAAATTACCCAAATCTGCCATTCTAGATTAAAATCATATTTTCAGGAGAAAACAAACTTTGGCCGAGAGAATCTTGATCGGTATTACCCACAGAGTCTAAAGTTCACGGTTAGTTATTATTAATAAAATAAAGACGAGTCCTATTAATGGCGTCACATGGTGATGCATCATCAAAATATTATTATATACAGTAACAATGTTAGTAGTTAGTTAATAAAATATTTGTATTAATAAAAAATATATGTATTAATAAAATATCATGTTTCCAACATTCACATAGTTGATAAATTATCTGAGTTAAATCCTATTAATCACGTTACTTGGTAATGCATTATTCAAATATCATATCTATAGTAGTAACGATTAATAAAATATTTGTATGAATAAAACAAAATATATATATTAATAAAATATCACATTACCGATGTTCACAATTAGCTAACAAATTGTCATGAGTCCTACTAATCAAGCTCACTGGGTAATGTGTGAATAAATTATCATATCTGCAGTATCCATCACATCCACAGTTAGTTAATCTATTAATAAAAAATTTGATAGAATGTTAATAAGGTAATAGATTATGAGAGGCAAACAAACAAGATTCATATGTGCTATTGGACCGTTTTATATTATATATATATACAAATAAAGAGGAGGAAATTTTTATCAACCACATGTAAACTGAAATTAACTCTCTAAATTTACATCTAAAATACGCACCTGTGTAATTTATGAACTATAATTCTAAATAGCTCATAAATTTGTATCCAAATTACCCACATAAATCACCAACAAAGGCAATATAAAGTAAAACTTTTGAATTATCTAAATTATCCACCTTCACTATTACAAAATAATTAAAAATATCCCTAAGTATATGGGAAATATTAATATAATTTATTTTGGCAAGTAAATTAGTAACCATTTTCACATTAGATAAGTTTATTATATGTTGACTAAAATATATGCCATATAGTAATCTATTTTAAAAATAAATAACAATAACACTAAATCTATGTGTAAATAATATTATAAATTATTACGGCAATTAAGCGAATAACCATTATTATTTAAATAATTATATTATATATCGATTAAAACATTATGTCATATCAATACTAATAATCTGATTTTAAGCGTTCTATGTTTATAAAATAGTAGTACTATAAAGTATTTAATTTATTTCGTACAATAAATTTAACATCTTGATCGTGGCTATCCAATCTATAATGATTTTTATGCCATCGTAGTAGCTAAGAGTGTTGCCTAAAATCTATACTATTTTCTGAATAACTAGAAGTAGATATTATGAT